TTGCCATACAATAAATATGATTTCACATTCACAAACAATGTTGAACAACCGTTAGCTCTCGCCATCAACTCATGAGTTGCAAACAGACAATGAAACAAACATAAGCCTTTGCCGCCTTAACTTTCCTTTCCTCACAACAATCTTAACTTAAACAATTCCATTAAACTTTCTCACGAGTGAATTTGAATTTATTATGAAATATTTATATGCCAATTTATGCATATTTCCTAATCTGATGCAGACATAAATACATATACATACAGGTGTTTGTGTGCAAATATATTATTGTTCCTTTAAGATGACAATAAATTAAGTTAAATTTGCTAAATATTTTCAATATTGAACACCTTAAGCTATTTCGTGCTTATCGATATAACGAAGGATTCTTAGAAATGGAAAAGGATAATAGGAAATGATTTAAATTCAATTTAAACTATAATTTGGGTAAGAATAATTTATACAAATGCGTAAACCGATTTTATTGGAAGTATGCAGCTGCACAAGAAAAATATTTTTTTATATATTTATTTAGTATTTTTGAATATATGGCACAACCTGTCTGTGAGATAGGAAATGCAGCGTAATGAGTTCAACAGAGGATTTAATAGAGCAGGAATATGGAAAACAGAAGCATACTTTCAGGCGCACGCAAGGTCGTTCAGTCATAGCAAACATATATCATGGCTGTGAAGTGTATTTTAAAGAAAGAGTAATTTATGTTTAGTGTTGTTGACAGTTAAATAAAATAATAATTAATAATATTATATTGGTCTAGTATAAAGTAATCCATTATCTTTGCAACATATGACTTTAGAGAACTGTAACTCACGTTCTATAAGTGCGATTAGATTACGCTAGAACACGTTAAAAAGATCACATGCGAACAAATCTGAGAAACTTGTAAACTGTAAATCTCAAAAATCTCCAAAACTTATAAATCTCCAAAACTTATAAATCTCCAAATATCTCAAAACTCTTCAAAACTCATAAAACTCCAAATATTAAAATCTCTAAAAACAAAAAAAGATTAGAGGTGATACTTAAAATCACTGCTGGACCATTTTCACTTTCAATTATGTTCAGGATTCGAGTAAGAAAAGATCTATTCCCAGCAAAGATGCCCCCATTTAACCAAACTCCCCTATTTTTGACAGGAAATTTATCAGAGAATAGAGCGACATCTTGCTCACGGGTTTCTTGGCATAAACCCACAATTGAATTTTCTGATGATAAACCAGAGTTTACACTTCGAACTTGTCCGGACTTGTCTCCTTTTCGAAACAAGACATCCAAGCAAAAAGTCAAAGCGGCATCCAAAAAAGATATCGTACAACACATAGAAGTTATTATAGGTCCGTATGGCTCTACCTTGGCGCTTGCAGATTTTCAAAGCATTCGCTGGACTACCAAGGAGGAAGCCATAGAAGATCTTTTATTGAAATTATTTGATAAAGAGACGCTTAAGAAAAGTAGACTATTCGGTACCCGTACGCAGCCCGAATTAGATCCACAGAAAATAAGTGATATTAGTATTATGATTACTGAACATTTCCTTTGTACACAGGGAGAATTTCTTGAGGCCTTCACCATGATGTACGATCGTGTCACAAGTAAGGATAAGATGATGATAAGAAGAAGAAGAAGAAAAAGTAAGTAATTTTTTGATTTTTCATTGTTATCAGTATTGTACTTAGTCCTTCCCACTTGTCGAATTTAATAAAAATTAAAAAAGTTAATAAAATAGAAAAATTCAATAAAAGAAAATACAACAAAATTAAAAAAAACGAAAAATATAAATAAAACGTAACAAGATTTAGTGATATGCAATTAAATTAAAATAATTTCAGCGAAAATAACTTAAAATAAAATAAAATGTTAAAAAAAAAACAAAATAATATTAAGGAAAATTATAAATAAAACAAAATAAATTAATATAAATTAAACAAAAATATTAAATTAAAATAGAAATATAAAAAATAAAAAATAGAAACAATAAAAACAACGAAATAAAATAAAATACGTGACAGCCACTCTTTTTGTATAACAAAAATAATTTATTCCGAAAATTAACCCCTTAAATTAAAAAAAAAAAAATAAAAAAAAGCTTAAAACAAAAAAAATTAATAAAATGGCTGCAAAATAGTATAAAGTCAATTAAAACTAAATAAATTAAAATAAAAAAATTAAATTAAATTAAAATATACTCAGAGAAATTAAATTAAAATCAAATCAAATAAAATGATTTAAAATAAAATAATATAAAGGAAAAAATAGATATAAAATAAAATAACAAAAATTATTTAAATTAAATGAAATTAGATATATAAAATAGTATAATAAATAAAATAAAATGAAATAAAATTGAATCATATTGAATTAATTTATATTAAATTAAATGAATTAAACTATACTAAAAAAATCGAAAAAGATATTTAAATTAAATTAAATTAAATTGAATCAAAACAGCTGTAATAAAATAAAATTAAATAAAATTTAATTTATGCATTTAAATTATAATAAATTCGTTATAAATAAAATAAAGAAATGAATTAAATGACATAAAATACCATTAAATTAAATTAAAATAAGCAAAATCCCATTCAGATTAATTAAATTGTATATATTTAAATTAAATTCAATTAATCAAAATTAACTTAATTACCAAATGTTTCAACCAATTTTATCATGCCTATGCAGCCTTAACATTTAATAAATATTATTTATTATTTACTATTGTACTTCTTGTTTTTTTTTTCAGTGTTCACCTAGTTTGTACATACTAATTTCGTGAAAGAAGCGTTGTTTGTTTTATTTGACAGAGAGTCGTCTGTGAAGGTGTTTAAATAGAAACAGAATAAAAGCCACTGGCTGCGGACTACAAGCTGTCAAAATTAAAGTGTCTAGAGTCATATGGAAACGAACAAAAAGGCGAATATCCGACTGCACAGTCTTATCGATAAATAAACTAATTTCCCTTTGCATTGTTGCATGTTCATACTCTACCTACACGTGGTGTGTACTTACAATAGTTTGAAAAAACAAAGATACGTTGTAACGCACGTTAAATATTAAATACATACATACAAACATATGTGTATGTATGTGTATGGTTGTGTGCTTTATACACACTCATGAAATAAAGGAACTCTACTCTCCTACTAATATATATACTCATACATATATATGAAAAACTGATCAGTCAAAAGATCTTAAGGTTTCATATGCTTATACATATGTATGTATGTATGTACGATATGTAAGATGGTTTTACCTGGCTTCTTAGTTCGAGAGAAAAATACAATTTGCTCTAATGTTGAGATTGTGAAAAACTCAGCTCAACAATTTGGGTACAGAAAAAAGATGAATGAAAATGGCGTTGCCATCCGACTGATTATAGATTATATTAAAAAAAAAAAATACTTAAAATTGTGAATTATTTTTAAATAGTAATAAACCAAGCCCTATAATATTATTTGTTTTCATAAATTTATAACGGAAAACGGACTGGAAATATATAAGAATGTTATAGGAACTTTTGCTTTTGCTATAAGAACAAACACCAAAATAATAAAACATAAATTATAGTACAGAAAATTTGTATTTTTATATGATTTATTTTTTTAATTTTTGAAAAGAAAGAAAAACTAATAAGTAAAGTGACAAGCAATCCGGAAAAATATTAAATTAAATAAAAAATTTAAAAATTAAATTAAACTGAAGTAAAAAATAATTGATTTTTTATTGAATATACATGTACACACGTATATAATATACATTTCCTATTTTTTTTAATTATTCAGTAAAATAATTTTAGATAAAACAGGAATTTTTCTCGATTTCTTTTCATTGAAAATTTTGTATTTTTTTAATCGTAATGAAATTAAAATTTTTTTTCAAAACAACTGCTTACTCGCAAAAAAATAATTAGAAAAAAATATTAATTTAATGCTTTTAATAAAATGTTTAAAAATTAAACTATATTGAAGTAAAAAATATTCGATTTTTAACTGAATTTACATTTACATATGTATTGAAAAATTTTTGAATAAATGAAAAATTAGTAATTATTAATATTGGAAAAAGTTGTTTAAAAATAATTACAAAAAAATGTGCGAAATATAAATTTTCTTCAAATTTAAATAAAAATTAATTGTAGTGATCGCAAGATAATTAAATAAATAATAAAATATTTTTAATTCGAAAAATTGGTTTTCAAAAATTTTTAAAACTAAAACCTAGAAATTTCAAAAAAAAAATCATTTAAAAGTCTGAAAAAGTATTTAGTATTAAAAAATTGTTTTCAAAATTAATATCTATAGAAATTTACAAAAATAAAATAATCTAAATGTGAAGTATTTTGCTCTAAAAAACTTGTATTCACAATTATTCAATTTTAAAATAAAAATCTATAGAAATTTACTAAAAAAATATTTTGAATGTGAAAGGGAATTTTGATTCTAAAAATTTCTGGCCAAAAAAGTTGGAATATATATTTAAAGATTATTTTTCAATTAATTTATTTGATTACTATTTTTATATGCATAAAAGACATTTGTTGTTAGAAAAGAAATTAAAGAAATAATTTTTTATTTATAAATATTATTTATAATTGTAAATCAAATTAAATCAATTAATTTTTTTTAATAATTTCTATAGAATTATTAGATAGAATTATTAGCCAAGCTTGGCTCTGAGAACGGTTATTTTGTTCGTTTAAATATTTTCATTAAAAATCTGGCATCCCTTTCACTAATTGTTTACGGTTTTCTCAATGAGTGATTGAAATCCATTCAAAATAATGTTTTTCCAGGTAAAATACATCAAAACTTATCTCTCCAAATACTTAACGCCTATTGCAAGTAGTAGGAAAACAAGCGAATTTTCACAAAATACGTTTCTTTTTGCTTTTGCATAGCACGTATTTTCCTGTTCACATGAAAACCGCCATTAAAACAAAATTAACGCGCGCTGCTTACGCCATCTTGCTTTGCTTTGAAAGAGCACCTCGGCGGCAGTGAAATTTTGAATGAGCACAAAACCAAAGAGCATTTCAATTTGAGTTGCGAGTTATTTTAGTTTATTTTGAACCCCCAAAGCGGAAGGAGGCGTTTTTGAGAATTTTCCTTCTTCTTTTTTTACAAGTAAAGTACATATATGCATATACATACAAGCCAAATTTTGACAGTGAAAACAGATTAGAAAACCTGTTTGTGGAGAAATATTTAGAAACAAGCAAAAACGTTAGAGGAATACACTAACAATTATATTAATTTATACGTGAAAAAGACTACAAGAAAAAGGTATTTATAATTAGAAATATTTATTAGAAGTGAAAATGCACTTTCTTGCAGGAATTTCTCACTTGCTTGCAGTGTTTTCCAACACATTTGCAAAAAAAAAAAATACGAAATAATAAATTTCTTAAGTATGAATTATGACTGAAAACCATTTTATTTTCCTTCCTCAAAATGCAGATATGAATACATTCAACGCAATCGCTGCCATATATGCGCCAGAACTTGCCGATTTAACCGATACATATAGATTTCAACAGATAAGAAGTTATGACCCCAGCGAAGATAAATCTCCACCAATCGCTGCTACAGTACAGAGTACACGTATCGAGGATAGAGCAAATAATAATATTATAACGCTCATGGGTAGACAAATACCGGCTTCAAATGTACGTATTGTAGTGCTAGAAGACACCGAAGAGGAGCGTAATCGGCGAGAGCACGCGACATTTTATAAGGAAATCGGTCCGAACAAGAGCAGAATATCCAATTCTGATTATCAAACTATAAATTGGCATTGTGCTGGTACCGCTACACGTTCCCTGCTCAACATATTGTTCGATAGGGAAACCCTAAGCACACACTCAACATATGCTTCAGGGCCTACAAGTTTGGTCAAGAGAGAATTGAATCCATTAAAAGTGGAGGATATCGTGCATTTCATTTCAGCGAAATACGGTTGCCGTGAAAATATTGTACGCAGCACCATCTCGTCGATGTGTAGCTCAGCGGCACAGAAGCGGAGACGTAGAGTTTCATTGCATAATGCAAGAAGGCATTAGTAGACTGTCTATTCAGTTGATATTACTTAATATATACATACATATATTTATAAGTAACAATACTTGTAGTTAAATTGGTGTAACTGAGATTTTCAAAATTTATAATTCATACATATAACATTTTTGAAAATACGTTCTGTGTACGTATTTTTTCAATTGCTTTGCATGTATACATACATACTTATATATGTACATGACTAGAAGCAGCTTTTATAATGCTGAATAAATTTACAAACAGTATTCAAAATACACTTTACTTTTACATAAAGTACGAGACATTGATAAATTGTTCCAAAATTAGTTAAAAAATAGGCGCTGGATACTTAATTATTACCGTATTTTCCACAAAATTTCACATCAGGCATTTTCGAGAAATTTAGTGAGTGCAATATGTATAATAATGTATATATATAGCAATATATCTATATAACAATATATATATTATACATAACAAGCTATAAATGTATCTATAATACCTGAATAAATTAAATTTTCATAAATAGAGAATTCTATGTTAAGATTAATACGCTTAACGATATTTACTAAAAACCTATGTAGTACAGCAATCAAACCACAATAAAAAATTAAAACAATAAAAAATTAAAACAATATAAAAAATAAAAATTATATTAATTTTGTTATCCAAATTGGTAATCGAGTATTGTAGTATATCTAATATATATGTATATATAATTAATATAATTAATTAATTAATAATTAAACTAATATATCCGTATATAATATATAACCACTGAAGCAATTTCTGGCCCAGCTCCACGGTGTGTTGATGTTTTTCAAACAAATGGCGCCATATACAATTTATTCTAAGGCGCTTCCGAACAGATGATGTATTTTTTATGATGCACTTTTTTACTTCAAGTTAGATATACACACTTTACAGTGCCTGTCGAGGGGCGATCACTATTCAAAAAATTAGATTTCTATATTTTTGGATGTTGATCGAACCAGAACTTGAACCCAGGCAGTACGTACTTCGCTTATGCACATGTATACATATAGAATAAAAAATTTAAATAAAAAAATCAAATACCTAACGAATGAAAATATAATATATATATACCACAAGTCTTCAGACATCTTCAATAAAAGGTATTTTTTATTTTTTATAATGTATTACATTTAAATTTATATTACAATTTTATTGTCTATTCTTTTTATTCTCTCATTATATCATTCCATTATTTTTATTATTTTCTTTTTATTTATTTTCATTAATTATTTATTTAATTTTATATTGCTATATGATATTCACTTTTATATTTTCTTACTATTTTTTTTTTTTTGTAATTAATTTTTTTTTTATTTTATGTTACTCATTATGTTATTTTATTTTGCTATTTCTTATTTTATTCTGTTTAAATTTAATTTATTTATTCTATTTTGTTGTAATTTATTTTACTTAATTTAATTTAATTTATTTTATTGTATTTTTTATTTTGTTATATTTTATTTATGTTACTTTATGTGAGTTTCATTTAATTTAAATTTATTTGATTTAATTTCATTTCAATTTATTTTACTTTATTTTTTTTTATTTTATGCTTTTTTATTTTATTTTGTTTAATTTTCTATTATTTATTTTATTTTTTTATTTTAGTTTAATTTCATTTTATTTAGTTAAATTTTTTTATATTATTTTAGTGTTTTTATTTTATTTATTATTTTATTTATTATTATTTTTAATTTTATTTATGTTATTTAATTATTATTCATTACTTGTTTTTAAATTTTATTTTATTTAATTTTGTTTATTCTACTTTTTGTGTTTATTTAATTCCATCGTTTTTAATTTTAATTTCTTATTTTTACTTTGACTTAATTTTATTAAATTTTATGTTAGTTTATTTTATCTTATTTTATATTTGTTTATTTTTTTATTCAATGTTTTTTTTTTTATTTAAGTTTAAAATTTTTTTTAAATTTTATTTCACATTAGTTTATTTTATTGATTTAATTATATTTCATTTTGTGGTCTATTATATTTTATTTTAATGAAATTTTTGTTATTTAACTTAATTTAATTTTAATTTTATTTTATTTTCTTTAATTTAATTTATTTTTATTTTTTAGTTTTATTTTACTTAAGTTTATTTTCTTTTAGAATATTTCATTTTATTTGATTTTTTTTTGTTACAACTTATTATATGTTTTACTATTTATTTTTTTAGTTATTACAATTATTTTTATATTATTTTATTTTATTTTACTTTATTTTAATTTGTTTTATTATATTTTTATTAATTTCTTGTGTGCTTATTTTATTCAATTTTATTTTGTTAATTTATTTTTTTAATTACTTTTAAAATATTATTTCATATTTTACCATTTTATAGATAAAACGAAATAATTTTATCTGTTCTATTTTATTTTACTTAATTTTTTTAATTTAAATTAATTTGATTCTATTTTTTTAAATTTTATTTTCTTTAGTTTAGTTTATTTTATTTTAGGTTATGCTTTTTATGTTTTGTTATTTGTATATTATTTTATTAATTTATTATTTAATTTATTTTTTTTTTCACTCATTTCTTATATTTCCCTCCTTTATTTCCTCCTCCTCCTTTATTTTCTAACCAACGTGTATGTATGTATGTACTATATGTATATGTATCGTAATAAAATTGCATTAAGTCATGCAAATCTAATAATAATTTTCTCCAACATTTAATAAATTCCATTATTCAAATTTTACACATTTCCGACAACTTCCGGCGGCAGCAGCTGGACATATATATCACTCTCTTTCTCTATATGTATATCTTTCGCTCGCTCTGCTATTCTGCAGTTCACTTGGAGTGCGAATAAAGTAAAGAGTTGAATGTAAATATTTGCTTACTAACAAATATCAAATGAACTTACAGTTGCATAAACATTTAAATACACATAAATATGCATACCAAATACACAAACAACAAAGACTATAAAATGTCAGCATAAATATACATTACCTGCAATGAGCGGGAAAAGTCATGAAAGAGAGAAGAAGAAGAAAAGTTAGGGTTAGTAAAAGTTAAAAAAAAAACGGTTAGGTTGAGAATGTTTACATTTATACATATTTTATTTTGGTTTATTTTTGTTTGTTTGCTTATTTTAAATTTGTTTTCGTTTTTTTATTTATACTCAAATTCAACAAGTAAAACTTTTAATTTATGCAACACATTATTGTTGCTCTGCCACTGGCCGTTAGTAAGGAGCAGGACGAATAATAAACTTTAATTGAGTCATTGAAGCAATGAAGTGAGACAAATGACAGCAACAACAACAATAGAAAAGTCATAATGGAGCAACAACTATCTAGAGGGAGTAAAGCTCACAAGTGTCAATTGAAGTAAATCTGGGGCCAACGAAATGAAAAAAATAAAAATAAAATAAGAAAGAATGAAAAGAAAATGAAAATAGAAAGCAGCAAAGATACCACCAAAAATAACAACAATAGAAATATAAGCAAGTAGAAAATGAACCCTGCTAAGAAGCGGCAATTGCATCTGTGCGTGTAGTCCGCTAAAAACTTATTTTCTAATACTATTTGCCCTGCAATCTCAGCGTTATATTAGTCTCCAAGCGTTATCTTTGAAAATATTTGTATGTATTTTTGCATGGGTCAACAACAAACAACAAAATGCAACATAGCTACAGTTGACATCCAAAAAGTTAGAAATATACATGTTTTTCTTTATTTTTGTTGTTGTAATTCGTAGAATATTTGTAGTTTTGCAGGAGCACAGCGCAGAATGCACCGGAGGGAAGGATAACAAGTACGATAGGCAGACACGCAGTCAGTCAAGTGAGGTAATCCATCCAACAAAGCCGTCTCTTTTTGCACGTAGAAGAAAATAACTAGAAGAATGAATGAATGAATGGCTGAGTAGTGGCTGATAGTTTCTGTAAGAAACTCCTATAAATATATTCACACCAACTAAAGCCTTAAGCAGAAATATCAGCTGAGCAGCAACCATAATTATTAACGACAGTGGAACATGTTAGAGTGATAAGTGGCTAAAATTATGCAGTTAGACAAAGAATAAAGCAGTTTTTTGTGTGAGAAGAGATAGAAGAAATGTGACGAGATTTAAGAGTTGAGATAGAAAGAAGCAAGTGCCATTTCAAATAAAATATGACACTTCCAAAGAATCAAGATTTCAAAAAAAAATGAAAGATTCACTTATGAAGAAATTGAATTCCACTTCAAAATAAATAAGTTCCAACTTAGAAGTAATGAGTAATATCACAGCTGCAACGAGTTCCTCTTCGAGTAGATGAGTTCCACAGAAGAAGAATAGCTGTTGATCTTTAAAGCAAATAAGCAAAATTCGATTTCGAAGACATCTGTTCCACTTCCGAAAAAATGACTTCCAATTCTGAATAAATAGGCCCCACTTCTGTAGGAATGGGATCCACTTCTGAAGAAATGGGGCCCACACCGGAAAAATAGGTTCCACTTCTTAAGAAATTGGTTCCACATAAAACTAAAAATAGAATTATAATAAATTTTCAACCTAATAAGTTCCACTTCTGAAGAAATGATTTCCGTTTCAAAAGAAATAAGTTCCATCTTATAAGAAATGTGTGCTATTTCGGAAGCAACGAGTACCTCTTCGAGTAAATGGCAAAAACAGAAGCACAATTGCACTTCTGAAGAAATGGGCTCCACTTCTAAAAAAAAGGGTTCCACTTCTGAAGAAATGAGTTCTACTTCTAAGAAAATGGGTTTCACTTCTAAAGAAATGGGTTCCACCCTCCCTATTTATGTAGCCACATAGCTTAAATTGAAAATAAGGTTGAGCTATTATAGAAAACATACCAAAAAAGTCATCTGAAACCTCGTTCAGCATCGAACGACTAAAAGAGGTTTTTTCCGTCAAGTTAAGTTAGTTTCGCCACATAAAGGTAAATGAGTTGCAGTTTCTAGTAGAGTGGTTTTGTCTCGCCAATTTCTTAGTTTTAAAACTATATCTTGCCTTACTTATTTACTCCATCCAGACAGTTTTATTATGCTACCTATGGTTTCAGCGACTCCAGCCACCCTGTAGCCCTGCAACAGGGGGCTATTCGATGAACCACTCAGTAGTCCTGCAACAGGGGGCTATTCGATGAACCATTAGTTAGAAGCGAACTAAGTCTTTCGAGAGGTGCCCTAGGAGGAGCTTAACCGCACTAAAGGCAGTTAACCCTATAAATTTTCAAAGTACGTGCCTTACTACTCGTGAAGCTTCTTAGGTTTTAAACTAAATAGAGCAAATTGTTGTCAAATATTTCTCTTGCATCACTGTACCCCCGACTAACCATAACTTTCCAGGCAGACACACCAAAAATATTCTCTATTGACAAAAAAAAACTCAAAAAATGTTCTATATCAGACGCGGAAGCAAATACATACATCCATTAAAAGCGAGTCAGAAAAAAATCTCAAATAAAGAAAAATAAATGAGAGAGAATACCAAGAAGACAGGCAAAACACCACAAGAAGAGTGAATGGTGTCGGCATGAAGAATGAATGAGTGAGTAAGTGAGTGAGTGAGTGAGTGCCTTGACTTCCTCGTCGAATGAATGAATGAACGACGGAATGAATGAATAAATAAGTGCACGTTTGACATAAAGAAAGGACATAGTTCAATGGTACATTTTTTGTTTCCGAGCCCGAAAGGATTCTGGATGGAGCAATGCAGTGCAGAGAGTCTTAACGCTAAAAACACTGCTACAAACTACGTATGCTTAGCTGCTTTATCACTTGAAAGATTAGTTGAATGGCGAATAAGAGGCAGCATATCTATTTGTTGTTGTAGTTGTTATTGTTGATGTTTGCGTGTTATTGTTGTTGTTGTTGTTGTTTTAGCTGCAACTGATATTGTTAGCATTTTGTTTGCTTTGTACGCTTGTTGTTTACTCTTGATGTTGTATTTGCATTTGGTTATATATATTTATATATATAGAAAAGTGCATATATATATATATATTTGTAGCATTGCCCACACACACAAAAAAGAATACGGTAAAAACTGCAGCAGACA